CATATTTATTTCAATCAGTCACGTTGTTTAAAAATTAATTATTGGCAACGGCCATATTTGGAGTTAGCCACGAGCCCCTGCCTACCTACGTACGCCTTCTTACTAAACACTCCGCAGATATTAAAATATAAATGGTTTAAATTTTTTTTAAAAAAGTTAAATAAATAATTAATTTTTTAAATTATAATAAAATTAAAAATTAATTTGATTAAATTATATTTTATCTTAAAATTAATAGTAATTTATAAAGATGATTATTGTATCTAATTTAAATAAATCATTGAAAAAACTTCATTTTATTATTTATTAAAATACTTAAAAACGACTTATATTTTAAAATAAAATAATTAATTTAAAATAAATTTTATTTTATAAAGGAGGGAATATAAAAAAATATTATAATTCAAATTATGAAAATTACTTGCCTATATATGTTATTTAAACCTATTCGTATATCAAGTTAATAATTAATTGTCATCTTAAGAATTTGACATTATTTATTATTATTTATTTATTTTTCTTAGTAAAAAGGCATCTCATACTTCGTTTGTTATCATGTATTTTATTAAATTGGCTTAATATATGGATAGAATCATATATTAGATGTAGATTGGCATACACACTAGGCCTAGGCGTAGATAATTGTTTCTGCGGCCAATCAGGTGGTAGTCTGACTGGCCTTCTCATTTATACGAGGAGTGAGAGGTCTCAAGTTTGAATTTTATCTACCATAGTTATTTTTACCAATTTGGTGAGCCAAGAGGAGGGTTACTCCTTTTATTGTATATCCTGAAGTGTTATTCTAACCCATCGACCTCCGATGAATTTTTTTTTTTAAAAAAAAGATAAGTGTTTCTTTAAAATTATAATTTTTCAAAATACCAAACAACAACCCTAAAGATCAAGGTGTTTGGTTAATTTTTTATTTATATAATACTAAAATACAAGTTTTTATTTAGATTAAAATAAATATAATGGTTAATTTACATTACATTTTGCCTTAAACACTACTTGTAATGCTATTTTTATACAGTAAAGCGGTCTCAAAATAAAGTTTAATCCAACACCTAAATTTATTTTCATCCACTAATTTATGTATGCAGATTCTTGAAACCCTAATAGGTGCCCAAAAAAAGAAATCAAATCATTTCAAATAAAATTTAATTGGTTATCAATAATCTTATTTTAAAATATTTTAAATTATAGTACGGACACTATTAAAAATCTCATTATTCTCTAAATATATTATTGAAATCTTATTATTCTCCCTTATTTCCACGTTTATATAGAATATAGATTTTTTTATGCTTTAGGGATTAACATTTGGATGCTTCATGTAATTGGGAGTGTTATGAGGGGAGGTTTGAGGGCTACATTTGGATGCTTCAAGTGTTTAGGAGTAGCAAATGGCAAGTATTATAGGATTACCAAAGAGAGTTTGTTTCATATATCATGTGACCAAATCCTTTTAATTTCTTTTTTTTTTTTTAATATCACAAATGTCCCTAACCAATTCAATTAAGTTTAATACTACTTGGACTGCATCGGACTCATAAGGAAAAAAACGCTTCCTTTAGATATTTTCTCTATTTACAAGGATCAAATATTTAACCTCTTAGTTAAAATACCTGACTCCTTTTCACTCACATTGGTTATCTTTTTAATTTATTTTCTATGAGATCTCGTAAGAAGGATTTAAAATAAAATCTGATTTACCTCTGAATTTATTATTCAAAAAAAAAATTACAAAATTGATTTTTTTTTTAGTTTAAATTATCCTCAAAATTTTTTATTAAGGTGCAATTTGCTCTAAAATTATCTTTATTAGCTATATATCTTGTTATATATTTTGTTCATTTTTTTTTTTTTTTACCTTTTTCCATGTCTATAAAAGTATATAATAAATTGACAATAGAAATCCATGAGAGAAGGTTGTTTTTCTTTTTTGTATCTCCATCTCTCTTTTATGGATTCTTCTTTGAAGGATGTATAAAATGGAATGAGGAGATAGAGACCTGTCATTATTATTATATCTAAAATTGCTTTTCATGTGAAGAATAAGAATTTTAAAATAATTTATCTTAATATTGAAATCACATGAAACATGCATATCATATTAGACAAACATGATATCAAAATCACCACTCTCCGTGTCCCAGTGAAGTTTTCATGCAAGACATCACCATCACTTAAATTAGTGATCAGCATAGTGACATTAATGGTCATGCTTTTTTCATTTCACAAAAATGACAAATCTTGAAAATAAAATTTACCTATTATTTACTGATTTTTATTTGTAGTAAAGGGTATCTTAATTGTTTTTGGACAAAGTCAATCATGTGTGGTTTGATTAGTCTTCTTACCTCTCATAGGAGATAATGAACGAGAGGTCTTGATTTCTTTGGTGAATGTTATTCAAAATATATAGCCCACAGCGTTATTCCGACCCTTAGGCCTCCCATGTATAAAAAAAATTGTTCTTGGATAAGGTAGAAATATGAATTAGAAGGTAAAAACTTAATGATATTTCTCCCTTTGAAAATTTTATCGAATGAACCGATATAATATTATAGAGTATACAATTGGAGTGACTTTGAAAAATCAATCAGGCTACACTTAATTGGCATATTGAAAAAAAAAAAAAAAAGAGAATAAGTAAACATTAAACAATACATTACCAATAGAAAGTGAAAGTCATACAATTTATATATGAAAGAATAATTTAATTTATGGAAAAAATCATTGATAATTTTCACGAGATGTAGCATTTAGGAGGGGAGGGCCTCCGTTTGTTGGAAATATAACTATCAATTTCTTATCTTTCACATCAGTTAAATACAAAAATCATTTTTCATGATCCTTTATTTCTAATATCAAAAATTGAGGACTAGAATATTTATATTTTAAAATCGAGAAATTATTTTATGAAAAAAGAAAAATTAACAAAATTTCATAAATGACAATTTAAAAAATTATTCTAATTTGTTATAAGAGAAATTACTAAAAAGGAAAAATCCTTTTCTTGGACTAAAACTTTTTAAGTCTTAGTTTAAGCAATGGATTTTTTTTTTTTTTTTTTTTTTTTGATCCTTTAGTTTAAAGAATGGTATTTTTTTTTTTTTTTTTTATGAAACAATATATACAAGTCTTATGTTATTTATAAATTACATTAACATGATATTTTCTTCGTTGAAATTTTTAAACTTTTGACACACTAAATTTGTCAGTTATATGAAAAAAAAACTTTAATTTTTTCTGTAAACTAATAACAATTCTTTAATGATGAAGAATAATGTCTTATGGGAATCATATAGTCTAAAACATTCTAAATATATCTACGAATAATTCCAAAATGAGATTTTGAAAATCAGGTTAAAAAAAAAAGAGTTCTTAAAGATTTTGTAAGAAACCATGGTACGTTAGATCTTTCTTTATTAAAAAATGGATTAAATATTTTTGAGTCCTTAAAATTTGACCACAATTAACAACTTAGGTCGCTCAAACGTTCTGAATAATTATTTTAGAAGACCTAAATAATGTTGTCGTTAAACTGTAAGGCTCTTTTATGCCAAAATTTCTACTTTTTCCGTATTTATTAGAGTTGAAAAAGAAGAATATTAAATGTGGGTGATTAAATATTTTCCGTGTCCCCTAAATCTATGATAAATCAACACTTAGGTCTCAACGTTTGAATAGTTATTTCGCTTTTCAGCCATATAAGCAGAAAAATGTAAGGACTTTGGATGGAAGGACCTCACAATTTTTTTTTTTTTTTTTTTGAAAAATAATACAAGTCTTATGTAATTTGTAAATTACATTAACAGATTTTTCGTAAATTTTACTTTTGACACTAAAATTTCATTAACATGAAAAAAAAAACTTTAATTTTTTCTGAACTCATAAATTCCTTAATATGAAGAAATAATGTTTGTGGAATCAATAGTCTAAACATAATAAATCTAGAATATCCAAAATGAGATTTTGAAAATCAGGTTAAAAAAAAAAAGAGTTCTTCAAAAGATTTTGTAAGAAACATGGTACGTTAATCTTTCTTTATTAAAAAATGGATTAAATATTTTTGAGTCCTTAAATTATGACCAAATTAACACTTAGGTCGCTCAACGTTTGAATAATTATTTTAGAAGACCTAAATAATGTTGTCGTTACACTGTAAGGCTCTTTCATCCAAATTTCTACCTTTTTCCGTTTATATGAGTTGAAAAGAGAATATTAAGTGGGTGATTAAATATTTTCGTGTCCCTAAATTATGACTAAATCAACACTTAGGTCTCAACGTTTGAATAGTTATTCGCTTTTCAGCCATATAAGCAGAAAAAATGTAGGACTTTGGATGGAAGGACCTCACAATGTAACGGTAGCATTATTTAGATCCTTCAAAATAATTACTCAAACATTGAGGGACCTAAATATTAATTTGATCATAATTTAAGGACCCAAAAATATTTAACCCTTAGAAAATTCATTTTTCAATTAACTTTACGTGCTTGTTTGATATAAATCAATTTCATAAAATTTTACAATTTTTTTTTCAAAGATAAATTCATAAAAATTTAATAGAATTTATTAGACATTGGATTGCTGATGGTATCGGTCTTCGGACCCAGCCCACAACTCATGGGAGTGCAAAACTGTGGATTCTATAAGTTTGCATTGTCCAAGATTGAACTTGTATTTGATTAATTTACTTAAGGTTATAAATAAATCAACTCCTCAGAAATTTGGCATGAGAAAAAAAATTTCATTCCAATTTATTTGATATATTAATAAGTAGAACAAAATATAACAACTAGTGTGTTCATAGCTATATCCCAATTGATATCAAAAAATTGTAAATTCTTTGCGACAACTTCTCTTCAAGCAGTTTTAAAATGGTAGTTTAAGCGTTGGATCAATAATGATCTATCTAGAACATATTTATGCAATTTTCAATTATTTGATAGATGTTCAATAGAAGTAATTTTTTTGCAAGTGTTAAAACCAGTTGAAAAAATAATTTATTTGCTTTAATAAAATTCAAAAAACAAATAAAAAAGGGGAAGGAAAATAGTAACGAGCCATTTGTATGCAAATCTTTAATGCTACATCAATATCATTTACATTTAACCTAATTTATTGGCCAAGACTTGCCTAAGAAATATCATACTCAGATAGACCTAAAGTTTTTGTTTTTATGGTGTATAGGGAGACTGTATCACTGGAAACTAGAAATTACCTCATCTGTAAAAGGGAAAGGGTATGGCAAACATACCAGCAATCCCAAGAGCAAAACCATAACTCCAAGAGCAACATATTTTTCCTCAGGATCAGTGATCTCCTCAGAGAGTGGAGAGATTGGCCCTCTTTGTAAGAAGAATATCAAAACTACCCAATAAAATGCTACATCATCAAACAGAGATGATAGCCCAAGCAAGATGATTGAGAAAGATGTGAAGCGAGCTGATGCCTGTCAAATGAAAAACTAGATTGATATATAGCACTTCTTCCATATTTGATATTCAACATATTAATCAGAGCTTCTGTGGTCGTGTAATAAAGCATTTAAAATGCGATTCCAAAAGCTATCTTGAACTTGGAATGACATACCTTTCTTCCCCATATGGCAAAAGAAATGCGTCCTCCGTCAAGCTCTCCGGCAGGGATGCTATTGATGGCATTAATAAGCAGTCCAGCCCATGCCCATATTACAAGTGGGTTAACAGATATTTGAGTGCCTTCCTTCAGTGCATCACCTAGAAGAAGCTTAGCTAGAAACAAAGAGAAAAAAACAAAGTCTAGATTTTTCATCTCTAATTTACTGAAGCAATTGAAAATCATCACAAGTACACAATCATTGAGATGGGTAACCACAGTAGAATACATGAAAGCAAGAAGTTTATCCAGATTCGGTGGTATGATCTGAGAACTATTCATGAAGAAGAAGTTCCACCTAATTTTTATTTTTAATGATAAAGAAGCATTAATGAAATGTTGTATAGAAAAAAGCGCTTACCAATGCCCCCAGCAAGAAATGAATCGTGAAAGACAGAAGCATCAACAATAAGGCCAATACCATCGCTAGGTGGTAAGATGAATCCTAGAAGAAAAAGAACAAGACCCAAGGCAAACCCAGCTAAGGGTCCTGCTACTGCAACCTTCAGAAGATCTTCACGTTTAGGCACAATATTTGTTATCCTTGTAATAGCACCAAAAGAGCCTATCTGCCCAGCAAGACAGTTCATTAGATCTTCCATGCACATTGATTCAGAAAAAGGAAAAATATCATGCAGTAGAAATTATGGCTTCTAATTATCACCCTGGCAGCAAGCTATCCATTTGGAAGTAAAAGGAAAAAAAAAGGTTTTTTTCTTTTTTTCCTAATTATAGATTAGAACAGGGAAACTATATATCACCTGCCAACTCGGAACAAAATATGGCACCCCCAGCTTAACATTATTGCTTTTTGCAACTAATATGTGGCCAATTTCATGTACCCCCAGAATAAGTGCAGTCACAAAGGCTCCAGGCAGGCCATCCTTTAGCAACTCTAGATTGTCAAAAGTTGACCTGGGGCATTTTAATTATTAATGTTTTAGTAAGAAAAAGAAAACCATAACAACTTTCACTCTTTGAAGAAGTCCTAATCAAAGAGAATGAGTACAATATTGCATTGCAGACCAATATTGCAAAACACGATGATAGACTAAAAAGTAAATGATAAGAGACATCTCAGAAACTTCTGTTAGAATAAACAAATTATTATGGAAGGCCAAGAAAAAGAGAAGAAGATAAAGGAATTCTCCCCAGAAAATGGACCTAACAATGCTGAAGAAACAGTTTTCTTAAAAAACATGCCTGATGGAACCATGAAAAACACATTGGAATTACTTCTTACTGACACAGACAAATAGTTAGTACATAAAAACAAATTGAAAAGTTAGGGCACAATGGTGAATTTACAATTAACTAATTTCATTATTTCAAGGAAGAAAGATGGTTCATATCAATCTAAATTCAATAACATATACAAATAAATTTCATGCATATCAAACTAATTTAATGATAAACAGGTATAAAGAAATTGCATACAGTAAGTTGGATTGTAATGCAGGCACGTTTCGGAGAAGTAATGTAAAAACTGTAACAAGTCCAAATGCCCCAGCCGCAAACCACTCTGGGACAGCTGCAAAAGAAATAACCCCAAAACCATTCTAGTTTAAGACCATAATATATATTCAATAGATTTCTGTCCTCACATTCTGGACAGGAAATTTTAGAATAAGTAGTATGCTGGATTAGAGATCCATAATCATAGCCACCTGTTGTTTCAGGCTGCAGAGTCTTTCTTGGAACAACTACAGCCACTGGTTTATCATCCTCCGGATTAACTAGAAGAAATAGCTTATACTCATCCCCAAATGTATTCTGCTTAAATATTGTGGAGATATTGAACTCTAGTAAGAATAATTTCATAAAAAAGTTGAAGGGGAAAACGAGATAGAAGTAAAAAATGAACCTGCATCCTGTTTGCTATCTTCTCATAGCTTTTAGCAGCCTTCCCTCTCAGGTTTCCTTTAAACAAGACTCCACCCTACAATGCAAAACAACAAACCAACGTTTTAACTGAAAGGGCCATATAATGAAGATTACTCGATAGAAAGAGGAGAATGTAGGTCTCCTTAACTCCTCTGAAAGAGAGATTCAATTTCTATATATGGGTGCTAAAGAATTTTTAAAAACATTGAAAGTAAGAAACATACAATTGTAAAACGCTTCAATAAACAACTACAATTTCTAACCTCAAAGCCAAATACTTGATTCTTAAATAGCTCACCTCATATGGCTCCTGGCTTGTTACAAAAAAAGTATCAAAGCCAAATACTTGATCCTTAAGAATATCAATTGTTTTCTTAGGAATCCTGATTGATTCATCGAATTGCTGGGGCTGTTCAGGAAATTATTAAAAGGTGTAAGAAAGAAGACATTGAAAGAAGATTCTTCCTCTAAGTTGGAAAGCTTCTAGCACCTATAATCACCTTCACACCTGGAAGTGGAGACCCACTAGCAACTTCTACATTGTCGAGATCCTGTTTCAAATGGTAACTTAACACAGTAAGGACCAGAGGAACTAAAAATCAGAGTCCTCTCCCCAAACCAAGAAACTGACATGAACCTTTTATATCAAGAAACATGAACTCAATGCAACAAACTTGCTGTGTAAAGTAAGAGTCAAAATCATCATTATGCGATGACCTGAAGCCAATAGGTCATCATCTACTTTGACTGTTGCTACCCGGAATAGCTTTAAAGACGCACATCCTCACTCACTTAAGAGAAGGAAACAAACAAAAACACAAAATACATACTAGTTACAGGAGGAAGGCAATGCAAGTGAATTTCATCCATTAGTGTGGAATAAACATTGTTTCCAAGTCCAAACACTGATGAGATAAATAAATAATCTACCAAATACAAAATCTCAATACCATATTAAAACAAGTACCTGGGTGCCACCTTCAGCATTAATTTCTACATCTTTATTGTTTATTTGATTTATGACTGTAGGCTCAGAATCAGGCTGGGAATTGACTTGCTCAAGCAAATCAGGGGCAGGTGGTGTCTCTCCTCCTTCATGTACTTCTTTTTCCTGCAGGGATGTAGCCAAATCCAAAATTATATCAACCATGCACAATAGTGTCAAAGGAAACAAGAACGTGAAATAATAAAAAGCATCATTTGCTCATGAAAATTAAAGCATTCATATAACAAAGTCTTAATGTTTGTATTTTCGCAAGTATGTCCTTGTCCACACATCACTTTTGTGTTTATGCCAATGGTGCACGAAGTTCATTATCAGAAAGAGAAAATTGCAGTCTATGATAACAAATGAACCTTGCAAATCCCACCTTGCTTTCCCCCACCCCACTAAATCAAGTCTATGCAATATAGTGATTGATACGGCATAATTAAGATTCTGTTCAGCATAAGCCATAAAAGTAAAGGTAATGCTAACTTGAAGATTCCTAAACTTGAACTCCCAATTATCAGCACCTTGGACTTGAATTTTTTCAATGCAATAATACTTACCCTGGTCTCGTATCATGCAACCATAGCTTATGTGCAAGCAAATCCTCCAAGGTAAATACTAATAAAATTATCAAGCTGAAAAGGAAGGGATCAAGGGAATGTCAATTATTCAACCCCTTAACTTCTGCACTACAATGCAAGCATTCAACTATTGGCCAGGAACAAAAACGTAAAAAGAAATCATAAGCTTAAACAACAAAAACAAAAAACATCCAAATAAAAGAGAATTAAAAAGGAGAACACCAAAGAAAATTTATTAACATTAGTACCTTATCATTATCGCTATCTGGTTCGGTCTGCGTCTCTGTAACTCTACAAAGAATCCTTCTTTTTTCCTGAAATCTAAATTTAAAGCACTAGAATTAGCCATTCAGGTAAGAATTAAAATAAGCTCTAATTACTCAAAGAAACATCAGATTCTACTTACCTTGAGACATTCAGCAACTTGAAATCCCTTAAGCGACACCATTTCTTCCGACGATAAATACCCGAAGAAGCTAAAAATGGCCGTGAGTGGAGCTGACAATTAGAGCAAGAGCTGCACTTCGGTGATAATGACAAAAATGGGCTAAAATTCCCCTGAAAAGTAGCCAAAATACTCATCTTTTAGCGTCCACAAAACAAGAAAAAGATACGTTCAGTTGATTTAAACCCTAAATCCCTAAATCCATTGATATTTCAAAAAAGAGAATGTTTCTGGTTTGAAATTGGCAGATTTAGGTGACTGGTATAGCACTCTTATCTCAAATTTTCTTTTTCTTGGGAGTAACAAAAACGGATAATCCTTTAGAGCGTCAGTTAAATACCCGCCTAATGATATTTTTGGTTTTGAATATCTCAAGTTGCCAATCAGGATTTGACACGTCAGAGTAGTTTGTGGATTAATGATTCATTTCGGCGGGCCCTTTTGTAAAATTATACTTTTGTTTGGGGGGCGTTTTTTAAATTTTCGAACTTTAGGGCTAAATATTTTTACATTAGTTACTACTTAAATAAAAAATAAAAAATAAAAAAGAAAAGCTTTATAGTTTGCGATTTTTAAAGAAAAATTTATTTATTAGAAATAAGAAAGTGATTAAGAATGCTACTTCAGTTTGAGTAATTATTAAAGGGCATTCTAAAAATTAGGTTAGTTTAGACAAACCAACCGTTTAATAAATATTTTCATTTATTCAATTTATTTTCAATTCTTTAAACATAACAAATAATTATTAAATATTTTATAAAAAAAATATTAAAATATATATAATATGATGCATAATAATATGTAAAAATTTACCAAATAACCAACATTCATCACTCAGGAACTTTGCATTACAAAGAATCTAGCTACACTATGCTTAAGCATGAATAAACCATTCCACAATTCAATGCCTCACATGCTTCTCGTCTCTATTTTGGTTTTGGAGAAACAAGAAAGGAAATTAAAAAAGCCTACAGATATTAGATATACAAAGACTGTATTGATGGAGGAAACTAGTTTAGTTTAGCCTGCAGATAATTGAGATTTACACTTTGAACCTTTTCTTTAAAGCATCATTACACAGTAATGGAGAATGTTACACATCTTCAGGCCACCTTCTCTTAAGGCTTCTGGAACCATCTGCTACTAAGAGTAACTTTGCTATCTTCTCTGGTAATGGTGCTGGTTTTAGCTCCACAAGATCCCAATCATCGTCATTACTAATCCAACCATAGTAAGGTCTTCTCCTTCCTCCTGGAAAAGCATCCACTCTGTCTGGTGAAAGAACATCGTATTTAGGAGAGTGGCTTCTGCTGCCAAGTTTCTCAACAGCTTCAAAATCCCTATATTCTGTCTTGACAGCATCGGCCATTTGTTGCTTCTTGGAATCTTGGTCCAAGTTGATGTCCTTCCAGCTACTTCCTTCTCCCTCAGCATTAGTTTCTGCAAAAGAAGAGCAGCGGTTAAGAGCTTGTTTGGTATGAATGAATGAATTGCACAAATTACTGCAGAATTAATTTTCAAATTCAAACTTATTTATTTAGATTCTACTTAGTTCTACTAAATTAGTTACGCTTGAACCAAATTCTAAACTTGATAAAAGTACAAGCCATGAAGGACAGGAAGAAGATTACCAGAGCCAATAATCTGTAATGCAATGTTTGGAATTCCATTAGTCCCTGATGCAGTATCCGGAGCCTCATTAGCATTCTCCTCGGTAGGGCATGTAGGGACAGAACCACTATTTGACGTTCCAGCAGCTAATGATTTGGTTTCATTTCCATCTTTGCAATCTCTCTGCAAGGAGTCAACTTTTTAGGTGATAATAATAAAAGGGAAATGCAGAAAGATGGTCGATAGCACAACAGATTCTTACTTACAGACACATGGATGTACAAAGAAATTGTGTTTTGTCAAGAAACAGAAATGGGGATTGACAAAGTAAAGTTCATGCTCTCAGAAGAATAAGGAAAACATTTGAAAGTGATAATTAACATTAAAAAAAAAAAAAAAAAAAAAGTTTTGGTATGAAGTGAATGAATTTGGCACACAATTTCACCTTAAGTCAGAATTATATTTCAAAAATTCAACTTTATTATATATAAGATTCTACACTAAGTTACTAAACTAAATTACACGTTCTCTGCTTATCTTTGAACCAAATTCATAAAACTTGATAAAAAAGTCACCAATTGCACATTGAAGGACATGGAAGAAGATTAACCAGAGCCAATAATTTCTGTAATGCAAATGTTTGGAAATTCCATTAGTCCCTGATGGCACAGTATCACCACGTGGGGCCATTCATTGAGCAACTCTCACTCGGTAGGGGCGGGATGCATGTTAAGGGGGAACCAGAAACCAACTATTTGCGGTCTCAGCCACTAATGCACAATTTTGGTTTCCTAATTTCCATCTTTTGCAATACTTCTCTGCCAGGAGGTCAACTTTTTAGGTGAAGTTAATAAAAAGGGGAAATGCAGAAAGATGGTCGATGTAGGCTACTTAACAGATTCTTAACTTTACTAATACACATGGATTGTACAAGAGAAATTGTTGGTTTTTTTGTCAAGGAACAGAAATGGTGGAATATTGGGGACAAAGTAAAAGGTTCATTAAGCTCTCAAAAGAATAAGGAGAAAACATTTTCTGAAAGTGATAATTAACATTAAAAAACAAAAAAAAAAACATTTTAATCTTTCTTTTGGCTAATAGAAAGTAATCATAGAAATCACTGGTTTCAATACACCCAGAATCAATTCAAATTTGTATTCTAGCAGATATATATTGTTGAAATAACAATGAAAAGCAGAAGCATTGGAATTTACTATATTTTGAACCTTATTGTCAACTTATCCAATATAACATGAAATCAAAGATAAACGAATCTGAAATAATGAACCAGATGAGTCAGGACAAATGGAAAACAATATAATTTACTATAATAAATCGTGACTATAAAAGTTTTTTACCCTTTTCACATTGCTCTTTCTCATTTTTCAAAAGATCATTGTCAAGGCAGTAACTTTAATATGATAAGTCTCCTATACTTTCAATATAAATATGGCCAACTCCTTCCAAAATTAAAAACGCTTTGGAAACAGAGAGCAAAACCCAGAATTTCCTCAAGTTAATATGTAATACAATGGAACAAATCTTAAAACTGCACTAATAAAAAAAAAAAAAAAAAAAACATTTAACTTCTTTGGCAATAGAAAAGAATCATGAAATTCCAACTGGTTTCATAACACAGAATCAATTCAATTGTATTTAGAGATAGATATTGTGAATAAAGAAAAGCAGAAGCATTGATTACTATATTGAAGCCTTATTGTCAACATTATCATATAACATGAAAATCAAAGCAACGCATCTGAAATAAGAACAGATGATCGACACAATGGAAAAACAATTTAATCATGCGAAATAAAAGTTTTACCTTTTCCATTGCCTCTTTCTCAATTTTTTCAAGGATATTGTCAAGCAGTACTTTATATGAAGTCTCTTCAATAAATGGCCATCCTTCCAAACCATAAACCTGAAACAGAGCAAAACCCAGAATTTCTCAGTATATGATCAAACAAAATCTTAAAACGCACTATTTCTTTCCAAAAGTACAACAAAAGCAAACCCACGTCCAAAAGCTCGTTGATTGTAGTGTTAATCAGTTTATGAGGGAAGCCATAACTCCTCATAGCATCAATAGCTGCATCCTTACGCATCTGACCCTTAAGAGCCTAATGAAAAGATAAAATTCAGAAAATCATGAGAAATCTTGAACGGAATTGAAAATAAAAGTGATCCAAATGAAGAAAAAGAGAGAAAGTTAAAGAAAGTGGTTACCTTCCTTTGTCGTTTCCTTGGAGCCATTTCAATATTGAAAAGGAAACTAAATCACAGTGTTAAGAATGCAAAGTGAAGAAGAAATAGAGAACGGAAAGGTAAATGGAAGGGGCAAGTAGTTTTAGGTGAAGACCCTTGAATTTCTCCTTTGTTATATGTGATCACCGCCTGAAAATATTAACCGATCAGAGGATTCCTCCAGCTTGGATTTAATTATATGCGATCACCGCCTGAAAATATTAACCAATCAGAGGATTCCTCCAGCTTGGATTTAATATCAATTTATCGATTTTCACTTCTAATTTTGCTTGCCAGCCAAGCTAATTAATTATTTCCATAGCATCTACGAGTAACCTTCTACAATACCCGCCCAAATTCCAGTTTCAGAAATGCTTGCTATTAAAATTTAAAATAAACAGCAAGAATATATATATATATATATATATACCTTGTGGGGTTTGCTTTAGGTTGAGAAAAACATTATTTGTATAAAATTTTCCAAATTATAATGTATTAGTCAATTGTAAAACATCCACAGCAATCAAAATGAGTATTTAATTGTCAAACCATATACTCATCTCATTACTAACACAAAATATCATCAGAACAAATCAATCTAGCACTATATGAACCCCTTTGAAAGAACAAAAGTATATTTTGCTCCTCCCACATTGAAGTCCAAAAATATTGCCTAAAAATGAATAAACCATTCCATAATTCAATTCTCCAGCCTTCTCGTCTGCATTTTGATTTTGGAGAAACTGGAAAGAAATTACAGAAGCCTATGGATATACAAAGACTGTATGGATGGATGGAGGAAACAAGTCTAGCCTGCAGATAATTAAGATTTACACTTGACCTTTTTCTGTAAGGCATCATTACACAGTACTAGAGACATTTACATATCTTCAGGCCTTATGTCCCACCTCCTCTTGCGACTCCTGGACCCATAGAGTAACTTTGCTATCTTCTCTGGTAATGGTGCTGGTGTTAGCTCCATAAGATCCTCATCGTCATTGCTGCTAATCCATCCATAACAAGGTCTTCGCCTCCGGCTTGGAAGAGCATCTACTCTTGCTCGTGAGCCAATATCATATCGAGCAGAGTGGCTGCTGCTGCCAAGTTTCTCAACAGCTTGAAAATTCCTATCTTCTGTCGCTTCAGCATTGACCAACTGTTTCTTCTTTGAATCTTGGTCCAGGTTGATGTCCTTCCAGCTACTTGCTTCTCCTTCAGCAACTGGTACAAGAGCATAAGATTCTGCAAAAGAACAGCAGCAGTTAAGCGCTTGTTTTGTTATAAAAGAATGAATTTCATAAATTTCTGTGGAATTCATTTCCAAATTCAAACTCATTGTGTTTGGTACAAATAAAAAATCCTATATTTTTAATTCTACTAAATTGGTTATGATTGAGCCAAATTCTACCAATAGGCTTTGCAAATGAATTCTAAACTTCATAAGGGTACGAGACAGTCAAAGGCAGGAAGCAGATTACCAGATTTTTCAATCTGTAATGCAACGAGTGGAATTTCATTAGTCACTGATGCAGTATCCATTGCCACATTAGAGTGTAATTGAATGGCATTTTCATCCCTGATATCAGGTCCAGAACAGCATTCAGGTATAGAACCACCGTTTGAAGGTCCAGCAGCTAATGCTTGGACATCATTTCCACCTTTGCAATCGCTCTACAACGGGTCAAACTATTTTAGGTGATAATATAAAAGGGAAAAGCAGAGAAATGGTCAATAGCACAATAAATTCTTATTTAGAAATCATTGCTTAAATTATTTAAGATGGCTGCAATTATAATGGTAATCTTATTATGCAAAAGTCCAGCTCAACAAAATCATTTGATAAAATGAGAAATTGTATTTATGGGAGCATTAAAAAGATGTAAAAAGAGCGCATTTGTTTTTGTGAATGCAAATCATCTCTAAACTGATATAAGAGCATCACAACTTCAGTTGGAGAGCAGTAAAGCAGCAGTTCCTTTAAACATAAATCACCCATCAAAAGGATCCAAATGGTATATATGAGGAAACAAAAAGCTGATAAGTTTGGCACTCGATAATACAGGTGCACACTTTCGAACATAGACACACACAGATGAACAAAGAAATCGTGTTTGTCAGCAAACAAATATTGGGACTGACTCAGAAGAATAAGAAAAATAACTAAAAGTGACAATTAACATCAAATAGAACATCTAACTTCTTTGAAAATAGAAAAGAATCTTGAAAAAATGAGTTCCGACTGGTATCATAAAACAGGAATCAGTTCAATTAAATTTACAGATAGATTCTGTGCATCAATGAAACACAGAAAAATGTGTCAAGCTATGCATCAAGTTTTAAATTGGATTTAAAAGGCAGAAATTTATAACAGTATACTAGCTGCAATATCAGATTGAATGTGTTGAAGCTATCTTTATAACAATGCATGCGTGTTTAAACTATCAAATTAGTGTAGTGATTCCCAATGAAATCATGAAACAAGCTACCTATGTTTAAACTAAAATATCTTTTGTCACCACACATAATGCCCCTAGAATGGATATGTTTAAACTAAACTAAAACAAGCTACATAAATCTTTTTCCAAAAAAAAAAAAAATAGAAAGGATATGCAGCAAGCCCCTAGAATAGCAGTCCCACCACAACCCAACTCACTGTGGAGAGCCTGGTAGGAAAAGCAAAAGACATTAGAACTGCTTCTGTATAACTGTAGTTCACAAATAATTAAATTACTACTTTCCGCCCCAAGTCCAATGGAAGATTCCAAGTTTACTACAGGTCATCAATATCAGGACTCAAATTCCAAGGAAGAGCCCCCTGTAGGCTTGTAATAAACCAAAACTCGACATTCTCCAATTAATTGTAAATTACAACAATCTCTTTTGCGCAGCTAAAATGAATAGGATTTGCTTCTTTGTTAATTACAAGGGAATCACTATTGTATAATCAAACTCCATTTCAAACTTTGCTTAACAGACTAGGTTCATCATATCAAGAAGAAATGAAAAGGGAGAATTTTTGAAGCATATACAGGACATAAAAATAAATTTAATGGTACAAAATAAAAATTTTACCCTTTCCATTGCCTCTTTCTCAATTTTTTCAAGGATATTGTCAAGCAGTACTTTATATGAAGCCTCTTCAATAAATGGCCATCCTTCCAAACCATAAACCTGGAAGAGAGCAAAAACCAAAATTTATTAGTATCCACGAGACAAAATCTTTGAACACAATTATTTCGTTCCAAAGCAACAAAAGCAAACCCACATCCAAAAGGTCGTTGATTGTAATGTTAATTAGTTCCAGAGGAAACCCATAACTCCTCATAGCATCAAGAGCCGCATCCCTACGCAACTGACCCTTAGGCGACTAATAAAAAGAAAAAATAGAAAGTACAAAATTATTAGAAAATCTTGAACAGAAATGAAAATGTAAGTTACCCATATGAAGTAAAACAGAAAGGAAAAGTCGGTTACCATCTTTGGGCGTCTTCTTGGAGCCATTACAGAACTGAAAAGACACCAAAATGACAGGGTTAACAACGCAAAATGAAGAGGAAATTGAGAATGCGGAGCTGAAAACAAAGGGAAGCCATAAAATTTCTTCTTGCTCTGAGAACGTTTTGGGAAGGATGGATACCGTTCTATTGTAATTTTGCTTTGACGCCTCTTTGTCGTTTACTGTTTCATAGCAAATACGTGAGCAACAGTAGTCTTTATTATGCTTCAGCCATGGCGCATAGCCGGTCATTACGTACAAATGACCGCTCACCATCCCAATTGTTCCGTTACAATATGTACTCTTCCGTGTCGCGCTCTTTTTTCTTCTTATTCTTCCTCCCTATATTTTCGTTATAAAGAAATTAGAGAAGCAATTTTTTTTTTAAATGCTAAGATATATCTTGATATCCCCATTAAAGAAAAAATTGGTAAAAATATAATTTAGCCAATTATAATTAAGGATATACAATATTCCAAAAAAATAAAAAATCTAACGAAAATTATATTCAATGTTTTTCTCCGAAATTAACGTTATTTAATAATTTGAAATGGGATAAAAGCTTACCTAAAGCCAAATATATAGAATAGATTCTCATTTTATTATTTTTTTTCTTCAGTGATTAGTCATAAATATTTTCATTTTAATAAAAAAATTATTTTTCATTGACTCGTCGACATCCATCTGAACAAGTCCCTTGCTCTTTAAGATGAGACCATGAAGAATAAATCTTTTTTTTTTCCACCATTTTGATGTTATATTAATTTTAGTATTTTATATTATTAATAAGGGATTAAAATCTTCTTTAAAATTCAATAAATTTTCCAAACAAAACTATTTGTCAATTTCTAATATATGGGTCTGTTCAAGTCTATTTAATAAACAAATTTAGCACAAAATAGGTGTATAATCTTCTTCTTTTTTTTTTTTTTTTTTTTTTTCATTGCTTCGCAGTACAATATGTACTCTTTCCGTGGGTCTAAAGTTCCGCGCCTTACTCCTTCTTCAATAACCGGGAACCTCTTATAATTTCTCTGCTCATCACATAGCTTAATTATCTCTGCTGATAAGGAAAGAACTGTGGAGCAGGGAGGCGGGAGGCCAAATTTTTCTTAATGAGGATACATGCTATATGGTATATTAACTATCTTCTGAGTGATGCCTCAAATTCCATGGTGAAAGCTATCAATCGTGGTGTGAGTAGCCCAGAAGTCGTACGACCTATTAGCCAATCTCGATGCAATTTAAGGACTACTCACCATACTCATCCAATAAAATAAAAAATAGCGGCTACCTCAAAGCTAACTGCAATCTCGGAATAAAATCTGAGCATCTACCATCATTCACATGAATCTTTCACAGAATACTCCTAAGACAGCTATGTTAATATACATGATACATGAGGATACTGAAGTACTAGTAAGAAGACCTATCCATAAGACAGTCCATCACTCACAATGCATCAATTCAATATATTTACGAACCCGTATATCATTTTTGTTATTATATAAGTCCTCTTGATATCTTTCTCGGTCCGATTGTATCTAGTGTACTAGCTAAGATATTGTACATCTTTATACGACGTAATATAATCATAAATTTTCCATTGGGACTCGTCCGAACATACGCATCTGATCTGTCACAAGTGCGAATTTGGCTTATTCTATAATAGATGGAGAAGTACTCGAATTCTGATAAAGATCATAAGAAGTTCGTAATGTTTTTTTTAATTCGGCGGACAACATTTTGATGTTATTATTAAAATTTTTTTAGTATTAGTATATATTTTAAAAGGGATTAAAAATCTTTTCTTAAATTCAATGAAATTCCAAAACAAATACTATTTGGTCAATTTCTAATATATGTGGTCTGTTCCAAGTCTATTTAATAAACAAAGGATTGTAGCACAAAAGTTAGGTGTGATAATGCCTTCTTCTTTTTTTTTTTATATATTTTTTTCTCGTTTACAATTTAACTATGATTTTAGCATATGATTGTCCTAACATTTAAACTTTTTTCTGGGTATTTGAAGTGGTAGGAAAATAGAAAAGGCGCTCTTCTCCTCTGACACTATTCCACTCATCTTGAAGACTATGGTTTTCGTGTGATAGAGGTTTAAAATTTTCCTGCTTGTTGAAAGATTAAGAGTATAAGGAACAATTTTAGCATGGTCTTATTATATTTTTTTTTTTTTTTTTTTTTTTAGTTTCAATTAACTATTGATTTAGCATATGATTGTCTAATTAACTTTTTCTATTTTGAAAGGTAGAAAATAGAAAGGCGTTTCCTTTGACATATCCATATTGCAACTATGGTTTTGTGTGAGATTTAAATTTTCTCTTGTTGAAAGAAGAGTATAGAAATTGAGTTTATTAATCCAAACAATAATAAACTTACATAGATTGGATTTATCGCCTTGCTCATGGATTAAATCAATGTAAATAAGAAGTTTTTTTTTTTTAAATAGAGGTATTTTTTACTTGAAAAAAAGGAGAAATAATTTTTTTTAAAAAAATCTTATTTGCATTAGCTTTGTCCGTAGTTATGACCTTAAATTTGGTCTAGTCGTTTAAAAGTATTTTCCACGAAAACTATATATGATATCAAGATGAATATAATATGGATTTGGTAAAATAAAGATCCGTTTTTTACGCGTAAAAGGCCAAAATCTTGAGAAATATGATATATAAAATGAGAGAAATACATCTTACAATCTTGATACTAAAAGTTGTAATGAAAACCAAATTTGGTAATCAATGAAGAGAAAGAAGTAGAATCTTATATTTCATGCATGCACTTGTATTGATTGTCTTTCTCATCAATATCAACAATATTTGTAAACCCTAATCATGAAGAAGGTCCAAAGAAACCAAGAAAAGGAGAAAGAATTAGTTATAAAATAAAGAAATAACAAATTCCAACATGACACATGAACTAGTTCATCTCCATGGCTCTTTTTAATTATCAGCAAGCCTCTAAATCTTTACAATGCGTAATGCATCTTGAAAGTGGAAGATGAAGAAGGAGGAAAAGATTTGTTTCGTAGCGTAGCGGAGGATAACTAGAAAGTAGATACTAAATTGGGTTTGGGCAAAAGTGAACGAAGACAGGCAACCTTTTCTTTGCAGTTGGAGAAGCATAAAGAACGCAGTGAATATAGGTGTCGACCACATTTCTTGGAGGTGGGTGTTTGTTGACAATATCAGATAAGTAAACCTCAATTTCATCATCCATTGGAGTCCATTCTGTATGTTTCTTGTTCTTGTTGGCACTGACGACGACGGAAGCAGCCTCTGTCCACATGGCTGCCTCAAGAAAATAAGACTTCGATTCTTCTAGCCAAGATTGAGCTTGATCTTTCTTGGCTATGGCATATCACATATGCCACTTGGAATGAATAGATTAAAACTAACAGATAATAATGTATTATATACTGCACTCTTGCTTTTCTGATCACCGCCTGAAAAAACCAGCCAAGGAAGGAGAGGATTCTGCATTCAACTTGGATTTGATAATAATTTACGTATTTTCATTTCTAATTTTGTCGTGAAACGACACATTTTGTTTCTCGTTTTGGTTAATTAGACAGCCGGGATTCTTGTCGTTTGTCTAATTTAATTAACAACATTGTAGAAGGCCCAAGTAAACAAATCCATATATTACCATGTAAGCCCAAATAGAGTAAAGCCCATTGTATCCATTTATATTGAAATCCACGGATCAATTAAGCTTCCATTGATCCTTGATGGGAAAATTTATGTGTATTCGTTGACCAATGGAAATGTTTGGTGAGAATCATTACAGCAGGCAAAAGTAGGATTGCATTTGTAATTTTGAATTTATAAGAAATAATTAGCAAAGAACAAGAAAATATTTGTAGATGACAGGACTAGATAAATTTAAAGTAAGAAAATATATTTGTTTTAATTTAAGAGATTAAATCTTCCTGATTTACTTTTCAAGAAAGATTTTAAATTTAAATTTTCGACTTTACATATAAAATTCAATTAAAGAATATATGTTAGCTCAGTTGGAGAATCCATATTCAATTTGTTTGTATTAACAAGATATTGGTTGGGATAATAAACGACATTAATATCCTGTAACAGTGAGAATATAAGTTTGATATTCAAAAAATACATTTTTTTGAGAGAAATAGAAAAATCTTTACGCTCTATGATACGAAAAGAATTACACTTTCTAGTTATAAAAAAAAAAAGCTCAAACCTGCTTGTAACACCCATCGCCCAGTCCCAAGAGACCAGACGGCGGATGCCACATTCGGTGCCGGAGACACCGTCTTAAAAATATAACATCATAATTCACTATTTACTAATTATCTAAATTCTCCAAATCGGCATGGCCAGGAGACAACCAAGTCCTTAAAAATTATACATCATAAATTCACTATATTTACTAATTATCTAAAAATCTCACAAAAGGATGCCACATTCGGTGCCGGAGACACCGTCTTAAAAATATAACATCATAATTCACTATTTACTAATTATCTAAATTCTCCAAAAATATTCATTACTTACTTTCTATCCATAAAAATCATGTATGCATACTCCAAAAAAATTAAATAAATATAAAACATATACAGTAATTTTTCCGGACCAAAATAATATTGACTCCCAAACCGGTGATACTATTCACAAACCAGTGATACTATTCACATACCGGTAAACTACTATTTAAACACAGAAAAAGTAGGGCGTTACACTGCTTGTACAATGACCATAATGAATAAAGTGCATGTGATAATGGCATAAGCATGGGGTTGAGATGGAAATTTGTCTGTCAAACAGTAAAAATTGGGTTCACTTTTTTATCCCATGTGGAAAAAGGCATGCTATGCTAAGGGAAAAAGAAAAGAAATTGAGACCTTCATGGGCCCTCTAATATATTTTTCCTTCCTGTAGCTTGTTTCCTTAAAACACTTTCTATAAAGTAGTTGATTTCCATCATCTTTCACCTTGCTATTGGAATGAAAAGTGAAACAAAAATCTAAATCCCATCTATCTTATCTTTAGAGAAAAAGATATTGGTCTATCCTAAAACAAAAAGACTACTCCTTAATATATTTAATTTTAAAGTGTAACGGATAATTTATAATCTACGAATTTTTTTTTAATTAAGTATTTACTCCATATCGACTATAATTAAATATGTATAATTTTATTTCTTTTTTTCCTATTTACATTTTTTTCGGCACAAACTAATTTTATTTTAGAGATAATTTATTTACGAATATAAAGAATCGTCAGTAGAATTTAAACGTACTTTATCACTCGAGCTCGGAATTCTTTTATTTTCTTGTCAAAAATGCATAGTATTTGTTCATGTGGATATGCACATTGCTTTAAGACCAAATTAGAGCTTGTCAAGTGTCCTTTCGTAAACAATAGCCTAACTTGAAAATTCCAATTATATACTTAATTATTGTTGGTCAATTTGATATGAACCTAACTCAATAGACAACAGTGAGTGCGCATGCACATCAATTTTTATGATTGATAATTTCATTTTTAATTTTTTTAATTATAAATAAAGAATTTCACAAATAACTTTTATGTAAATCACTTCAATGTTATTAAATAGTTGGTATTTTGAATTAAATTTTAGAATTTGAATATTATTAGTGATAATTTTCACTTTTTAAATTTTGGGTTTGAAGCATAAGATTCTTTTTTTTTTCTTTTTGAAAGAATGGTTGACAAAGAATAAAATCTATCATTTATTTATACGTGTTCATTGTAATTTCCTTTCTTTGATTGATCGTTACTTGTTAGGCTAAAAGATTTCATCAAATCCTGACCAATTTAATACATAAAAGCATCAACCAATGATTTAATGATATCAATAAATGATTAGATCAACAGAAAAAAACTATATTTTCGGACAAATTTTTACTTATTTAAAAGTTTGACATCGCTGGAAACATTTTACTTAAATATCATTGGGAGGTCAACGACCGAAATAACACGATGACTTACACAACAAAAATAGTTATATCTTGACTCACACTCGAGAAGTCTCGAATTCGAGACCTCTCACTTATCGCATTAGTGAAAATAAGTTTTAAGTTACATAGCATCCAATTTGACCAGTCAATTTTATTTAAATCAAGTAGCAGGACACATACAAGTATGGAGATTAACAGATTAAATAAAATAATAAAAAGACCCACAAAGAACCAGTCAAAAGATATTTATTTAGATTATTAATCAACATAATATGTTTTGGATTCACATGCAAAGAGCTTTGAAGATATGGCAGCCAACGTGCAATCCATGTGAAGAATAATACACCATCCTCAAAGTTTCCTGATAAGCAAATATGGATATTTATTTATTATTTTTATACATATAGATCCTAATTAATTGGGCTCTGAAAGCTTTAAATTGGAAATTCTAAATTTGCAAATAATTTGGGAGACAACCCATTATATTTGGCAGCATCATAGATTCTCTGAGATTTAACTAAGATATATATATATATATATCATATACCCAATAACCAAACATTATTATTCACAAATCACCTACTGCTTATAAAAAGGCTGAAACAAAAACACAATATATATATATATATGGGGGAGATGATAGATGGTGAGTCCATTTTGTATATATAATACACATAAGATAGAATGTAAAATGCTATGGAGGATTAAGGGTTTAGGTTTAACTTCGATGATGATGATCTAGAACTCAGTGGTGCTTCACGGCGACCGGCTGTGGGCATTGGTAGCACTTGGCAAAGAGACCAAATGTGTCAACTTGCCTGATAAAATTGGTCATGCTAGCCCATCCTCCTAATCCAAAACCAACTACCAAAACCCATATCACTACAAATGCATTCACTGCATACATGGCTGTCCAGCTAGGGATGAAGAATGGAGGCTTCTCTGCTGCATTCTGCATTTGAAAGAATGGAACTTCAGGATGTAAACACAATTGAACTGATTATCCTATATTTTAATTTCACATTATTTGGTTGGACAGAGCAGTCCTAAACTTTTATATTATGAAATGCGACTTGTAATGCAAAATTTCAAATGGAATAATATTACCATGATGAAATTATGGATTTCACTTTTTTTTCTTTTTGAACATTTAGTATGTTACAAGGAATAAGACCGGCTACCTAAGCGGGGTCAATACAGAGAGTTGGCATGCCAGCTATTGCCAAGATATGGCTAGTACAAAGAGTATAAGTATGAGTGTACCATATAACTGAATGACAAGGAAATGCCACCAACCTCATCTTGTCTCATAAATTTCCAAATTCCAGCCGTTGAACCACATTTGTGGGGCTAGAAATTATAACTTACTTCCCAAAATCAAGCTAAGTTAATTATTAAATACTTTATAAAACACGGCTAATCGAATCAAATATATCTTTTCTTTTCTCTTTTTGTTAATTAGGCTTTGACCAAGGTGTTTAAATTCAAATTTCCAACCTAGAGATGGCTTAAAGACCAAACTTTGACTCTGCTATAGTGATCAGTAGCTCAAATTGAAAATTCCGTCTAAAGAAGATACACCTAACAAACAGCACACATATACCTATCACATTGTTTTTGGTCATTATGACTATTGAGAGAGCAGGAGATATAGTCATGTATTGACAATTTTGTGGTAGTAGTAGACAATGCCAGCAAGATTTATAGTACATATATTAGGTAGTAATTAAGATAAGAGGTGCACAGGAAATGGAATGATTACCTGTCGAGCAGAGGCAGATCGATAGGTGAGCATATGAGCTAAAGAAGGGATGATGTAGACAGTGAAGCTAACTAAAAGGGCGCCCACAGCTGAATTAATGGGACCAAAGAAAGGAAATATAATTGCCAAGAACCAAATAGGTACCACTACAGGCAGCCGAGTTAATGCTCGCAAAAATATGCTCTTTGTATCATGCATACCCACTACTTTCTCCCATACAAAATACAATGGCGTACATGCGAATCCGAATGTTATAAACTGCAATTCATAAACCAAATGTTATAGGTCATATGCCAATTCACAAACTTTGATTAATGAGATAAAATATGCAAAATTAACCTGATGGATGAGCATGAGAATAACTGCAGCATCGCGCCATCCAGAGTCAGGAAGAAGCGCAAAGGCGTTCGAGTGAGTGAGGAGTTGGTCACCAAATGCCCAGTAAACAGCAGTAGCTGACGGAATTGTTAAGGTGAAGACATACAGAGTAGCAAACAGATATATGTACTTGAATTTTTGAGGCTTCCACATTGCATGCATAATTTCCCTATAAAACCATTGATACCATTTTCAAGTATTAGTGATCATTATTCAATCAGAATAGTTTTGAATTTTTTTTTTTTTTTTTTTGAATGCTTAGCCCTTTTTTGTTCTTGAAAAATTTTATTCAAAAGACGAGAAATAAGACGATATGGCATCAAACCTGATCCTATACGTGAAAGTGACAACCAACTCCACATAAGTGGATCAAGAAAAATTTGTAATCATAGTAGGTAAGAAAAAGACGAGATCACATCAACATGACCATAAGAAAGAGCAATTGAAAAGGATCGATGTCTAATTAATTATCAACTGTGATTCTATGCTTAAAAAGCTTTCAACTTTTTTTTTTAAAAAAAAATTAATGTAAAGCGTTATGTTTCAACTTTCAAAACCTATGATGCTCACCTAATATTATTCCTACGTGTACCGATTGAGCCATCTAGGCAGTGTCTTTGCTTAAAGTTAGAATAAGTATAACAATATGTGATGCAGTTCCCATGTGACATAGTTTGGTAAGATAAGTCTATATAATGTGAACTAATTGAGCTGTAATATTTAATACACAAAATCTACACATGGACCCATAATATATTTTTAGTACTAAGTTGACAAGGGCATGAACTTATGAAAAAGCTTAACAACTACAAAGGTTTGGTAATTTGGTGGGTGGACCTAAGACTTGTGGAAGATAAGGTGCACATTATGTAGAAAAATTAAAGAACTCAATCTTGAAGAGGATAAGTTTCATAGATATGTGAGTTGCTGTATGGTTAAAAAGGGAAAGGAAAAAAGAAGAAGAGAAAGAAAATGAAATGGATAGCGCACTTCAAGTCAAAACCAGCTGTCGTAATTGTACGAGCCAGGTGAATTTTTCTTATTTTCTGAAACTTTACCTAACTACGAAATCTTGCTTTCCAGATTAATGCCAGAATCCAAAGACTCTAAACTTTTTTTAGGAGCAATGATGGGTTTGATTTCATATACTTAATGGCATTAAAAAGTTGCAAATCTTGAAGAAATCAAAATTAACTGCGCGTAATTTAGCAATCAATTAAAAAAGCAGGGAAAAAGAAACACTTACACAGTAACAGCATGGCCACCAAATGTGTAGAGGATATTGGTGGCGCCTGTGAAATAAAGAACCAATTTTGTTGGGCCTGAGTGGGTTACACCATCTACCTGTAAAATATATTTGATGTTAAATCTAATGGCCAATGGGTAAAGAAGAGGCAGGACTAAACATCAGTACCGTTAAATATTTCTAGTAATTACCTGGCCATGAACAATGGCAGCAATGGCCAAATACCAAGCTGTGTAAGTGGTCATTCCAAGTCCAAGAAAAGACCAAATTCTGTAATTGTGAAATGACGGGATGAATACAGTGGTGGCACAGCAAGCTCCAAAAATATATGTCCATGTCCTCTTGTCTAATTTGTCGTTTATATAATATATATTACTGTAATCACCACAAGAAACAATTGAAATCAGAGGATTAAGCAAAACCCACTTTTAATTTTCCTCTTTTAAGTCAGATACATTAGCTTAATTAAAAAACTGACCTTGCACAGGCTATAAGTTGTATAACAGAACCAAAGAGGAGAAAAGTGCAGTTAAAGGCTAACCCAACAGCTTTCCAGGTTGGACCCAGTAAACCATCAAGCACTTCAAACCACTGCAGATTAGAATTTTGGAAAAAAAAAATTAAAGAATTAAGATACATAAATCTGTTTTAGTTCTCATTTTTTATTTTTTATTTTATAAATTGTGGGTTGTTCTTGGAAACTTAACCTGTATGACATGGTTCTTGAAGCTGACATTCTCTTTCTCCTTTCTGCTTCGGTATTCTACGTATAGAACACTGATAAGATAAGCAGTCCAGCTCCCAAGAACTCCATAAAATACCTGCAAAATTATTCCAGAAAGCATTCCCATTTGGGAGAAAGAGTACGGCAGTGTCAACAGAACCTGAGCGACCTGTAACCACCCAAAAAAAAAAATAATTTAAAGGGCCAATGAAAAACATTACAGTTTGTACAGTTCTAGTCAAAATTGAATTTTAACTGTTACTGTTACGACTAACCTGATTTGAAGCGCAGCTAAACCAGGCATCATAAACAGAACCACCATGCCAAAGAATGCTTTTGATGCTAAAAATGGAGTCATCTTCTCCTTTCTCTTCATCTTTCTCTTCATGTTCAGTTTCATTAAATCTAGACACCATTTCTTCCTCTGCTTGCTTTTGTGATATCATTTTTGCTTCACTACTTTACAGATCTGAAACAATATCAAGTAAAGATTTTGAGCAAAACCCAGAAACCAAAACCAAATTGATAATATGAATCATTTAGAATCATTAATAATACTATCATATCTGCTAAAGACCCTCTAAATCCCTAAAACAATCTCTACTAATCTTCAAACGGTTTTACAAATAAGGAGGCAGTGAGAGAATCTCTCAACTATCTCATCTCAATCTAAACGGTTATCTTTTAAGCCTATATTATACAAGAGCCAGAAGAGAAAGAAGGCTACATACAATACTATTTTTTCTATCTTCTCTATTCTAAATTCCTTTGAGCATTCCAAAAATTCCTTCAAAAACAATCAGCAAATATAATCTCATTTTTTGAGAATATAACAAATAAACAACAAGGAATCAAGAACCAGAAAGATTTTACTTAAAGATTACTTGAATTTGGAAATCTATATCCCACTTGTATTTATAATGGGGAAAAGAGAGGGGAAATTTCACTACCAGACCTTTTTATTGACAAATGTATCAAATTACTGCAAATCTGCAGCTTCTTTAACTCCCCAAAAGAAGTGCTTTTTCACTTGAGTGTGCTTCTCTCGTTTCTTATGAAGCCAGTGCTTCGAATCAAGTCTAAAAACGGCTGTTACAGACTATTTTTAATGTAGAGTGGTTATAGTCTGCCAGATTAGAAAAAGGATTTTTAAACTCTGGAAAACAAATCCTGACAATTCCAAGATTGTCAGTACTGCATTAAATCAAATGTCCTTTCTTACACTCACCCGGATACTCTTTCTACTAAATGCTGCTTTCACCTCAAAGAACTAGGCAACTAGCACTGTCAAATCTTAAAAAAAATGATAATAAAGCAAAGTGCAAGAAAATTTCTTTCTTTTTTCTCTCTTGAAAGAAAACTTTGAGCAAGAAACAACAAAAGAATTCTGACAGAAAAAGAACACCTGAGAGAGAAAGGAAGCTACAAGAGGTATGTGGTTTTCCAGAAAAAAACTGCCTTATAGAGTTTTAAGAAGTAGAGAACATATTTCTTTTTTGTTTATTTTTTTGGTTTTTTCTTGCTCTGCTTAGCTTATAGTGTTTCTGTTATATGTTTAACAGATGGTTCAGAGATGAGAGAGACCTTTGTCATTTGTGTGTGTACTTCCTTATATGGCGTTTGGCGTTTTTTCTTTTTTGTCTTAGCTTACTATGATACCCTTTTTAACTGAGTTTGGTAGAGATCCAAATCCATGGAAATTGAATTCTTGTAATTTAAATTCTCTGGGATCTAAAAGGCAAGAAAAAAATAATTTCTTCTGCTTAATTCTAAATAAGTAAATTAGAGGGTAATGAATTATATTTCTCAAAAAAGAAAAGTAAATTAAAGCGTATTTAAATTCTCATATTTAGTGTAAATTTGAAATTTTATATTTTTTGTTTTGTGAAATAATTGTGTTTAGATCGATTTTTTTTTTTTTTTTTTTTTTTTTGTGAAATAATTGTGTTTAGATCGATTTTTTTTTTTTTTTTTTTTTTTTTTTTGAAAATGATCAAAATTTTAATTAAAACTTAGTATATACATGTGCATTTGGCTGATATGCAATTTTGTTTTTTTTTTTTTTTTTTTTTTTTGAAAATGATCAAAATTTTATTAAAACTAGTCATATACATGTGCATTTTGCTGATATGCAATTTTGTTATTATTTAAAAGTATTAATGATTACATATTAAAAAAGAAATTTAAAATATTAGTAATAATACATTAATCTCAGTAATTAATAAAAGGAAACTGTAACGTTTTATTATTTGAAAGAAACTCAATGATATTATTAATTAGAAAAGCTAAAAAAATCATTAATATTATTATGATATTAAATCCAGCTGAATTAATGTCTAAATTAAAAGAAAGTTAAATTATAATGTAATCAAAAAATTTTTTAAAATGAAAAATAAATTCATTAATTACTAAAAATAAATTAAAATATTTTAATAATAGAAAAAACTATTAATGAAATTATTAATAGTAATATTTCTTTAAGATGATATAAATTAATGTTTTAACTTTAAATTACATTAACATGGATAATACTTTAATATTGTTCCAAATCAACATGCATCCTTCAAAAATTATATGTTTATTAAATGCCATAGGTGTTTTTAATTATTTATTTGAAAATAAATTGAATTTATAATTGTTTATTGATTAAATTAAATTATGCTAAGCATAATTAATTAATATAAGGTTAGAAAATTAATGATATATTTAGTAACAATTTATATAGCTTTTAATGATATAAAGAAATTACTTAATTTATGAATTTAATGATATAGAAGGTTATTTTTTAAATTAAATTGTATTAAATATGATGGAGTTCCTCATATATGGTAGCTCAATTGCTTTATTTGTAGATTTTAATAATACGAGGAGTTATTTTTTATGTTAATTATAAAATAAATCAAACTAATTAATACACCTATTATTTTATTTATTTTTATTTATTTCTATAAATTTCATTATTCTCAATCCATACTCTTGAATATGTATCTATCTATTATTCTTTTTCTCATTATAAAAAAGTCATTATTGTATTTTTTTTTTATTATTCATTTATCTTTGTTTATATCTTTTAATAATAATAATAATAATAATAATAATATCTCTTTTATAGGTGTTAAACGCAAATTAGATTGATAAACGTATTAAACGCACTACTTGATAAATATGTGGTGACAAGCAAAGCATTATAAATATGACAAATTTAGAATAACAATTAACAAATATCCAAACTTATTAAGATTAGCTTGCCCAAAAAACAAAGTCTTTTGAATGGTCAAAGCTTTAACACCATCCATCAATATTTATAATGTTAATATATATTTTGTTTGTGTACTCTCACAAATATTTTGAATATGAAACTAATTTTCTTAATTTTCTTTCGAGATTTATAGCTTCTTTCTTTATTAAATACTCTTTATATATTTTTTAAATTTAATCTAACAAATAATGTTTTTCCTTTTTAATTTGACATACTCGTATTTGTATTCATAACAATGATAATTAGAGTATGTTCGGCAAAATTAGCTGTTTAGATGTTTGAGTAACTTTTCATAAAGCGTTACATGTGTTAACTTTTTATAAAATACTATCTTAATTTTAAAAGCTAATTCAAATGTTATATTCTCGAGTATTATAAAAAATAAAAGCTATTTGAAAGATTGTTGCCAACACAACCTTAAACCTATTAATTTGATGACAACACGGTAACTCTTGTCTACTTGCCACCATACATAAGATAGACAATGCTAAAATCAACTTGGTTTCATGTCCTAGCAACAAAAAAGAGCTCCATGTCTTATAATGTTAGGTGGTTTCTTAGACGAAAAGTATTTTGCTATAATTTCTCAAAATCTTCTCTAATTTTACTAATTATTTCTTGTAAGAAAATAATCTTAATTATCAAGATTTTCCCCACCATTTGCTATTAATTAGGTATAAGTTAATAATGGATTAAGTTGACCTTTCCAATCTAGTTTAACACAAAGCATTATTGCATTTTAAATATTTTGCAATTATTTAATGTTAAATATTTTTTATCAAAAATAAAATTGGCATATTTTTGTATAAATATTACTAAATTCATTGACTACTATTTTTGTATCTCATCAACTCGTTTTTAATGCTAGATAATAAATAAAAACATAATTGTTATTGAAAAAAATATAATTTGTTTAATCTAATTAATGGTAATATTTTGTTTATCATAATGTTTTAGAAATATATTATTTCCTTAAATGATTAATTTATATCAATATTTAAAAAGGAGGAATTACTATTTGGTCTGTAAACTTTGACCAAATTACTAATCATCGTACTTTATGTTAAAAAATTCACATATTCTTCTCTAAGGTTTAGAAATTTAGCCTATTAAACTATTTAGGATGACTACTTTGACCATTAAATACCGATGAAAATAGTAAATTTAAGGGACTAAAAAAAAATATTACATTAAATAAAAGATTAAATAGTCAAATATTACAAAATATATAATGAAAAAAGTAATATTTTTTGACGAAACAACTAAATAGTTTATCGAAATTAAACTTCAAGTCGCACGAAGTATTCATGAATCACGAGAAGAGAATATTTGTTATTTTAATTCAAATCAAAAATGATTTGCATGTCAATGATGTGACTGATTCTATTAAAAAATAATCCAACTTGTGAAGATTTTAGCTTAATTGTACTACTAATAATTGGACCACACATCTACGTTCATTTAATTAATATATAATTATAATATATTTAAATTAATTAATTACTTTCCAAGAATAACTAATCTTGATTAGTTAATTGTATTAGGTCATTTTGAATTTCATATCAGAATATTGTATTTCTAACGTTATTGCATGAAGAAAAAAAATTTTCCTTTAACACTTTAGAAATAATCCATTTTTAAAATTATTCAAATTGAAAATACAGTCTTAAATTCTTAATTGAAACATGCATACTTCATATAACATTAATATTAATAATATGAAAAAATAAATTTATATAATATATTAATTAATTTATATATTCAACGATGTAAAAAAAATACATCTATTTAAATATTAATCGAGTATGATTTTTGAATTCAGAATTTAAACGTTAAAGGAGGTAAAAATTTTATTTTTATTTAATTAATTAGTTGTAAAGCGTTGTCAAAGGACTAATATTATTGTCATGAATTTGGTGAACTGCTTACTTTTATAGTCAAAAGTTAGGAGCATCCAATCTTTTTTTGTTATGTGATTTACTGATTTTCAGTATGGGCATTTAGTGGTTGATAGCGTCATTAACGGCTGTTAGCTCATGATGATGAAGGGTCCCATCTTCATTTTTATTTCCTATTTTTTCATTTTTTTGAAAAATATACAATTAAGTTCGATTCAGCTATTTTGATTTGGTTAAGTATTCAATTTTTTTTTTAGTATTCAGTTTGATTCAATTTATAATAAAAAAAATTAAAATAACTGAATCAAATTGAATTTATATATAAAAATAAGTTTATATAATTAATGAGACGGTAATTCGATCGGTCTTTTCATTTATGTGAAGAGTAATAAGTTTCAAATTTGAAATTTTTTTTAACTACAGTGTTTTACCAATTGAGTAAGCTAAAAGGAGAGTTAAGAGTTTTTCTATTGTGTAATCCGAAATGTTATTTTCGCGCAACGAGACTCCAGCGAATTAAAAAAATGTAACACTTTACCATATGAGAATGAGATTATAAGACTGGGTGATGGACCCATCTTCATCTTCTCACTTTGGTTCCTTTTTTTTTTTTTTTTTTTTTTTTTTTTTCATCTTCTCACTTGTTCCTTTTTTTTTTTTTTTTTTTTTTTTTTTTTTCATTTTTTTTTTTTTTTTTTTTTTTTTTTCACTTTTCTTCATGAATAAATATGCTCTCTGTCTCACTTTTCCTCTCTCTATTGACTAATAATTCAAGTTTAACTTGTGTGGTCTCCCTCTCATCTTGGTGATTTTTTTTTTTTTTCTAGGACCATTATCCTAATCTTTTTCTTCTTTTCTCTATTTATTTATTCTAACAATAAGAATAGTCAGGATGATATAATTGGATTCAGTCTTTAAATTATTGTCATCAAGTCAATTCCTGCTTTTGTCCACTTAATTCAATTGGCAATTGTCAAATCCATATATTGAACACAAGGGAAAATTTTTTTTATATAAAATAAAATGGTTACTAGAATTATTTGTGAGTTGGTTTACCAACTTTATTTTATGAAGAAAAATATTTATTTGAGCAGACTAACTTCTGATAAATTTAATATTTTTCAAATCCATATTATAAATCTTAAACAATGATTAATATTTAATTAATAAGACTATCCTTAAAAAAATATATATTCATAATGGTTTCCATTAACAAATCAGTCTCTAAGTTCGAATTATCTTAATGAGAAAAAAAAAATTAACATTTAAATTTAATAAAGGCCATGTTAATTTTATTTTTTTAATAAGATATGTTTGTTTTGGTCAAAATTTTTACTTAAATATTTAATATAAATTAAAATTTTCAAATATAAAAATATATTTAGAAAATTTAATATTTGTTGTTAGGCAAAAAACAAAA